AATTACCACCCTCAAGTCCATATTTTTCTTTAATTAGGCTAAAAAACAACCCAGCATGACCTTTAGCCAATCTACCCCACCACTTTCCAAGTAATGCTAGGTTAAATACTCTAAGATCCTTAACCCCAAGCTCGCCATCCCTTTTGCTAATACAAACCGTCTTCCAATTGACCCAGTGAACTTTCCTACTCTCTTCACACCCACCCCACAAAAATTTATTTCTGATTTTATCAAGAGCTTTGATGATACCTTTCGGTGCGAGATAGACGGACAAGAAGGAGGGTAATTCTGCCACCGAAAGATAACCAACGAGTCTTCCAATTCAGCAACGTCTTATGGAAGGATTCAATTAGTGGTAGCCACATGCTAATTATTTTGTGATTGCCACCCACTGGAACTCCCAAGTATTTAAAAGGCATTTCACCAGTTTTGTAATTGAGTATCTAAGCCATTTTTTGCAACCATTCTGCCTCTACATGAATACCCATGAGTTGGCTTTTGTGATAATTAATACCATTATGGATTGGCTGGTTGTCATTGCATAATTGCGTTTTACCCCCTCCAGCCTCTCAATGGCCTTGGTTCCCAATTGAGGATTCCCCTACCAATGGAGAATCAGATTTCTGTTCATTATTGACTAGGAGACCAACTTTCAGAGTCACCAACTTATTATCAAATAGAACTATATATCTTCTCAAAAGTCTCTGGTATTCTTAGCTATGGTACATAAGGTTGAGAGACCTTTTTCCCAGCCTCTTTCAGTCTAAAACCCATTGCACATTCAGAAACAACATGTTGCATACACCCATAAACAGAACAGAGCTCAAGCAGTCTTTCTTATTTGATCTGAAGTTACCTAGTTTCTGTGGTTAAGACTTGCAAATTCTTAAAAAGTCTAAGAAGAGCACTCACTTCTAGTTGAATTCTGACTCACATTGCTTTGGTAAACAATGCATCCACCTCAAGAACCCTCTTCATACTAAAAGGTTTATAATACACTTAATCTAATTAAGAAATATAAACAAATTATTAGTCCTCATGATAGAAATATGTTCAAGTAAAAATTAAGAAAACTCACATAGATTTCACATGCGTAAAATCCTCCAAAAATTCACACGCGATGCCTCAATTCTATCTTCTAAAGAAGTGATGGCTTCTCCTCCCACTAGTTTCTATTTTTCTTGTAAAAACTTTAGATACCATATTAACAAATCAATAGGTCTTATAGGGAGCTTGTATGGTTAGACTAGAATTACAAATAGCATGTTGCGTGGGACTCTTTTGGGATCTTAATCTCTTGGTAAATTGAATTTAAATCAATTTAGGATTATAATAAAAAACTCATCAATAGATAACAATCTTATCCAAGAAATTACAAATAAGATTGTGAGATCCCTTAAACCACAATATTTACATAATAATCCTCCACCAACTAAAATTTCATACAAAGTCTAATCGAATTAGAATTCTTATAAAACTGTCATCTAAAATTTGTACGTGTCTCTTAAATATATTTAGATGATAAAAAACAATTTAGCAAATAAAATTTTGATAAAATTTAATTTTTTAAAACTAAGTTAAAATATTTATTTAAATTAAATAGTCGGCTTGCTTTTTGTCTAATATAAAAGAGATAAATTTGAATATTCTCTTTTACAATAAAAGTGGTGGTTTCTTATTAAATGACTATAAATCTTCATGTGCTTATTATATAGTTCAATATGTCCGTATATATCTCATTTATTGGGCATCACCGGTTGACAATATCAAAACTAAATAACTTGTATATAAGATTAAATGATATCTTCAGGTTTAAAGACCTTTTATAAATTGTGGATAGAATAATCTTTTATTTAACAGTAATTAACTTAAGATTGTTGTATATGATTCAGTTCAATATTTGTCTTGTACAAATACTCACTATGTTATTAAAAGTCTTACTCTAGTGGTTGAAACTTACCACTCTATCACTTATAGTAGTATGTGACAACCAAGTTAAACATATTGTTCAAAGTGTGCTTATGGTTGTGAACAATTTTAAGATCATCAAATCTTTTTCATTTGATCATCTCCATAATCAATATGATTAATGTATGATCTAAAGATAATAACATTTATTAAATCACCCAAAAGAAATATGCATGTAAATAAATAATAAAGATGGCTGTGTAGGGCATACAATTCTTTCAAATACTACTTCCAATTTGTTGCCCTGCTATCTCACCATGAAGTTTGCTTGGAAGTCCGTAGAATCGCACCTAGGGTAGGGTTTGCTCCCTGATCGAATGCTGCTCGGGGTGGGAACCAACCTTTGCTAGCAAAGGGAATCGTACCAGCGTCAGTTGGAGGTTGCTCGCAACGGTTCTCTCTCTCTCTTTCTCTCTCTCAAGTTACTCGTTAAGGACACTAGGACAGGATTATTTCACTTTTTCTCTTCAATTTAGGTGAATAGCAGCCTGTAAATTCATAAATTAATTTTCAAAAAAAAAAAAATTCTGCAAGTTAGTAAGTATGATTCTTTGAATTAAAAATTCAAAAAACTATGCATCACAACCATTAAAAGGGAGAAGGCCGTTTTATATATTGGGTTCTTCCCTCGTCCTCTTAAGGGTCTTGATGTTACATAGTGTACTATAACACAAGATTTCGTTAGAAATTAGTGTAAAATAGTAGGTTTTTTTTTTTTTTCTTTTAATGAAATGTGTCCAACTTAGAAAGGGCAAATTTGTCAAAGACTAACAGATTTATTGAAAGTTTGGAGTACCCTTATTTTCAAGTTTTTTACTCATGTAAACTTTGTAGGATACATTTCCGAGTCTAGAAGAATTGAAACTGGAACAGAATGGCAATTTAAAGGAGATATGGTATGGAAAACATCCAGAAGAGTATTTCGACAAGCTAAAGGTAGTGGAACTCACCCGTTTTCATCCTGAGAGATCGACTCTCCTTTCGCCCTTTTTCTTCCAGTCTTTGCCCAGTCTTGAAAAGCTTGTTGTGAGGGATACTTTCCTCAATGAAGTATTCCAATGTGAAGAAGTTGGTGTTGAGGAAAAACCTTCTACATGTGGACGCACTCCATTATGCGAACTAAGGCTGTCCAAACTCCATGAGCTAACACATCTTTGGAAGGAAGAATCCCAAATTGAATCTATTTTTAGTAACCTAAAAACTATAGAAGTTCAAGAATGTAGCAGATTGAAGAATTTAGTGCCATCCAATGTACATTTCAACAATTTGCAGACTTTGGAAGTATCCAAGTGTCATGGACTT